GCTTTAATTACGTCTTCTGTTCTAATGGGAGTCCCTCTCTACTGCTGCTGGCACTGGCAGCTCTGGTTTCCTTCTCACTGGTCTCTACTACGCCGGAGGATGTGGCTACCTGTCTGTGCAAGACAAGAGACAATGACTGCTATGTTCCACAGCATGCATGTGTGGGACCTGTACCGAGAGACGCATACACTCTGAAGTATAGAGCAGGGGTTTCTGGGAGTCTGGTGCCACTGCAGGTCCTAGCTCTCTGCTTATACTATTTGTATTTGAGTTGGGTAGTCTCTAATTAAACCTTGAAGTCTAAAACTGTCAAAGTCACAGTGTCCCTGGATCTTTACATTTTATCATCAGCCTTACTTTTGGTGGCAGAGGTGGGATTTCCTCATCATCTGCCTTACATGTTTTTCATTAGTGGTGTCGTACTCTATTTTTGGCCTTGCACTTGAAGTGACTGATATCTGAACTACAATTAGCAGACTAGCAGACATGTCATTGGTAACCAGAAAACAGGGAGTGATAGAGAAAGGTCTTACCAATCAAATAGCTCACATGATGCGGCGAACAGAGTGTGTGATGCTGTGTTGTGGCCTATTATTTCAGGTACGTTCCACTGAACCAGCAGCATTCAACAATTACCCTGCCCGGCAACAAAGGCTCTGCCCGCTGGCTGGCTGGGCACCACCCTCTCACTGCCTGAAGCCTACTCTGCCTCCAGGGTTCCCATGGAAACCCTGACTCTTTTCCAGGCAACATGTAATTTAGTTGTGTTGATGGGGAAATTAGGCCTACAACTGCTGTGCCAAACTGGCAGCCTGTTTTAGAAAAAGGCTGCCCCCTTACCCAACTGTTCATTTACCATCTCCCCCATTTTAGTAGTCCTGGACAAGGCCAGTAAACCAGGGTTGTTGCACGCAGTAGCAAAACATTTAGCAACTAAAAACAAAAAATCCCAAAAGAAATGTTTAGAAAGTTCAAGCTCATTTACTGCATTTCTATACAATTTAAAAACTCTAAAATGCTATTTGGAGAACAGCAAAAATGACCCCAGACATTATCACATTGGTTTCTGTAGCTTCATTCACCTCAGTCTATCTACAAACACATAGCCTATTAGCTATACAATTAGCCGCTACACATTAACTCACATTAACTCAGCACAGGGATTAAAAACTATAATTGAATACATACTGAGGGATCTGTTAGCAGGAAAAGTATTTGATTAACAAATGGTAAACAAATACGTTTGCTTTACAGAATGCTTTTTTTTTTTTTTTTCAGTTTTACATCAATTTTTCAGCAATTCTACCCATTTTGCCGTTACTTATTACTTCTGCCAGGTTAATATATCAGGGAGTGACTAACAAAATCAATGGGGGCCCCCTGGAGGTCAGGGCCCCTGGAGGTCAGGGCCCCTGGGCACGTGCCTGGTCGGTAATCCGGCCAAGTTTAGATAGCTGGCTAGACTAACTAGTCTAATTTAGTGACTGTCAGTGATTGACACAGGCTTGCTTAGTGTGTGTGTGTGTGTGTGTGTGTGTGTGTGTGTGTGTGTGTGTGTGCGTGCGTGCGTGCGTGCGTGCGTGCGTGCGTGCGTGCGTGCGTGCGTGCGTGTGTGTGTAGGGGCAGAGGCTTGCTTAATTCAAAAGGCTAGAAACATGGTGGCTGGTGGCCTACTTTCTCCAGCTCGCCTATGGGACTTATTTGACATGGTTAAGCACTCAGTGTAACAGAAGCCCCCATCCAGCCTCTCAATCCCACTGGCACAATTCTAGCTAGAACGCATTTGCAGTCTGTCACTGGAGGCATTTCTCTCAACTTCCGCTTCTATATCCTTCTAAGCCTGTAATGGATTGTGTACTTCCTCTCTCTGTGTAATTATTGAGATTGTCCAATGAAACAATCAATCAGAGGAGAGGCCTTGTGTGACATGAGTCATTTGGGGGAGAATTTCAAGGTATCCCCAAAGCAAAAGCTAATCCCGGATTAAAATGGTGATGTGTTTGAGCACTCCTGTCCAATCCCAGTGAGCAGAAACTGGTTTTAAAGATGTAATTGGTTGAAATAACTCACTTACACACGTACAGGGGTGAGTCATGTTATTTAACTACTGGGTTATTGACTGGTTATATTGAATGGATGTTCCTTAAAACTAAATCATTTACACAAAAGTCTCAAATAGATATCAAATCAAATGTTATTGGTCACATACACATAGCCTGTCCACGGCCATTGAATTATTCAGGGATCATTTTTATATTTTATTGGCCATAAAAGTACTTCTGTGTTTTTTAAAGGTGTAGTCTAGGATATAAGGAAGACCGACAGGGTTTAAGCCCAGAGTGATTGCCAAGGGGAGCAACAGTCGCTGCTCACGTCCTCAATTAAAGCTGGTATCCGTAATGGTCAAACTGCCACGTCCGCTTGCGATATTACATCAACAAAGGAAGTTACATCAAACAACGAACACTGTTTTTTTCCCCGTCGGACATCATTGCACGCGCGATAGAACAGCAGCATATTTTATCTTGACGTCAACTAAACAAAAACAATAGAAGGGCTTTGGGGCAGACAGTCGCGTTGTTACCCCCAACTGCTGATTCCTTCTTTAACTGTAGCTACATGCTGTATGTCATCTCATGTTGTATTCTAATATTTGGATCGTTTGGACAGTGGATCTAGGATCCACTTGTGATGCGTGTGATAGAAGGAGTCAGGCTCAGGAGAGTAATACGCGTCCAAAGAGTTTATTCCGTCAATAAACAGTTGGGCAAGTATGCGACAACAAAACTCAGGCACAGGGGAAATATCTACCCTGGCAACAACAAGGTAAGGGTAGCTACACACAGCTCACTACAAACAATCACCCACACAGACAAGGAAGCAGAGGGAACACTTATACAATGACTAATTGGGGATAAGGACCAGGTGTGTGTGATTAATTAGAGAAGACAAGTGGAGTGATGATAAATGGATCGGCAGCAGCTAGTAAGCCGGTGACGACGAACGCCGAAACCTGCCCGAACAAGGAGGGGAGGCAGCCTCTGCGGAAGTCGTGACACAACTCCCATTTATTATTGGTTAGGCCTATTAATTTACAACCTTTTTAGGTTTGTATTGATTCTTTAAAGGTGCAGTGTGCTGCAACCTACGAGAACCAATCTTGAACCAGAAAGATGGTGTTTGTTTACCACTACCACCAAGTGCTAATATTAGCATTCTCTAACCACAAACCAATACAAGTCATTGTAGTCTACCCCAATACACACTGAATGTACAAAACATTAGGAACACCTTCCTAATATTGTTGCACCCCCTTTTGCCCACAGAACAGCCTCAATTCGTCGGGGCATGGTCTGCACAAGGTGTCGAAAGCCTTCCACAGGGATGCTGGCCCATGTTGACTCCAATGCTTCCCACAGTTGTGTCAAGTTGGCTGGATGTCCTTTGGGTGGTGGACCATTCTTGATACACACGGGAAACTGTTTAGCGTGAAAAACCCAGCAGTGTTGCAGTTCTTGACAGACCTGGCACATACTACCATACCCCGTTCAAAGGCACTTAAATATTTTGTCTTGCCCCTTCACCCTCTGAATGGCACACATACACAATCCATGTCTCAATTGTCTCAAGGCTTAAAAGTCCTTCTTTAACCTGTCTCCTCCCCTTCATATACCCTGATTGAAGTGGATTTAACAGGGGACATCAATAAGGGATCATAAGCTTTCACCTGGAGTCACCTGGTCAGTCTATGTCATGGAAAGAGCAGGTGTTCCTAATGTTGTGTATACTCAGGGTAGAATGCTTTAAAGATGTGCTGCAGTTGTATGACTTGGCCTTTGTATGTGTAGCAGTTCACATGCTGGTGAACCATCACTCAGAAATGTGACGCTCATAGGGGCAGTGCATGATTTGTAATCTGCATGACTTGACCCTTTGCGTTTTGTCATGGAGGTCCAGGCATTTCCCACTCCGTCACCCTGACTTGCTGTTCTATCACCAGCTTTAGCTTAGTTGTGTTTGTCACGCCGCCCTTAAGTTATTTTTCCGTCCCCAGTGACTGCGAAGCATTTGAATGAAACCAATGCTTCACAGAGAAGGCATGTTAACCCTCGACCCCAAATGGCTCCAGAAATAGGGCTTGTTTTTGTAAGCGGATCTGTCAGACACTAAAGAGCTGAGGATCTTCTCAGGGACATGGGTGGTCTCTGTGCTGTGTAGAAGCGCCTGTTATGTGGTTAGATTCAGCCCAACTCGATTGAGAACCAGATAGCAAATCTAATTACAGTCCCAGTAATGTCTTTACATTGAAATTAAGATGCACTCGCACCTTCTGCTTCATTTATCACTGTTAGCCTTTAGCCGTTAGCCTTTAACCTTTAGCCGTTAGCCTTTAACTGATAGCCTTTAACTGTTAGCGTTTAGCTGTTAGCCGTTAGCCTTTGTTTCCTTCTGCTGAGATACTATTTCACCTACTGTGTCAAACTAATCCTCACTCAACACCTCAAATGAAGCACAACACACACTGTCCTCTTCTGCACCTAACTGGCAGAGCTGTAATGTAAAAGGGTAGGCCTAAACCAAACTTTCTATATCCGATTGCATGTTCAGTGCGTCCTCAAGGGCTTACTGTACAATGATTGGATTTTTTTAAATGTGTATCTGTAATTGATTGATTTGCGCTTACAGATTTACTCTAAAAACATACCAGACCGCGCTTCAATTGAATTTGAAAAGCACTTGCAAGGATATGATGGTTCAATGATGGTTGTCTGATGGATACTGAGGAGTGGTGAGAATGTGTCAGTCAGTGCCAGGCTTGTGAGGCTTACAGTAGGGTAGTAATCGAGGAGGGACAGCTGTGGGTCCCGACATGCTTTCAGAGCCTGACCCTCTAATATTGTTGTAGTAGTGCACATCTGCTGGTAAGATATGTTGGTAGAGGATGTTTTCCGAATCCTGCACTGATACTGCCTCACCCATACACTGTGCTGCGCTGAGACATGGCTGAAGTGTCAGCCTCCATGTTCTCCATCTCGTAAGGAGGAAGCAGATCGAAGAGGACGGTCACATCCTGGCATTTGAAGGATAGTGATGCCCTAGGGACCTTGGAGCCAAAAACAACCCACTGTCTGTCTCTGTGGTGGAATCTTTATTTAGTTGGGATATTGATACAGCTTTTTGGGGATATCAAAAAGACTTCCACAATAGACTTATTTTGCTTTCTATTTCTAAGAATTGCTGTCTAGAAATGACAGCTGTGAATGCACAGTGCTAATTTGACAGTCCGTACAATAAAGACTGAGAATGTTGAGTAGCTGAGTATTTAAAGCCGTTCGAGCAGAGATGTCCCCTGTGGTAGTCATGGTGTGAACGTTAAGAAACTTTGTCGCTTCACAGTCCCCTGAGGGCGTAAGTCAATCTCACCTCCTAGACCTCTATGAGTGAAGCATCTATAGCCTGTCATGCTGTCAGGCATATTACACCATATCACGCCATATCACACCATATTACACCATATCATGCCATATTACACCATATCACGCCATATTACACCATATCATACCATATCACACCATATTACACCATATCATGCCATATTACACCATATCACGTCATATTACATCATATCATGCCATATCACACCATATTACACCATATCACGCCATATTACACCATATCATGCCATATCACACCATATTACACCATATCATGCCATATTACAACATATCACGCCATTTTATACCATTTCATGCCATATCACGCCATATCACGCCATATTACACCATATAATGCCATATTACACAATATCACGCCATATTACACCATATTACACCATATCATACCATATTACACCATATTACACCATATCACGCCATATTACACCATATTACACCATATCACGCCATATCATGCCATATCATGCCATATCACACCATCTTACACCATATCATGCCATATCACACCATATTATGCCATATTACACCATATCACACCATTTTACACCATATCACACCATATCACGCCATTTTACACCATATTACACCATATCACGCCATTTTACACCATATCATGCCATATTACGCCATATTACACCATATTACATCATATCATGCCATATTACACCATATCACACCATATTGTTATTCATACCCTTAGATATCTTACCCTTCGTCGGTATACTGAAAAAACCTTGTGGATTTTGTCTTTATATAAATTGAATGTATTGTAAAGGTGAAGCATGGAGGTTTCTCCACTTCTGAGGAGTGCGCATTAGTGCTTTGAAATGTACTATAGGTGTACTATGGTTGTACATGTTCACCACATAATTCAATAGTTTCATTGTTGTTGTCGAAAGGAATGGAGAGTTTGGAATCAAGTCAGTCTAGTCTGTGCCTGGACCAAAACCAAGATGTGGATGGAAATTCACAATGTATCTGGTTTGACAGATAAATCCCTCCCATCTGGTGATCAGATACAGTGAGGGAAAAAAGTATTTGATCCCCTGCTGATTTTGTACGTTTGCCCACTGACAAAGAAATGATCAGTCTATAATTTTAATGGAAGGTTTATTTGAACAGTGAGAGACAGAATAACAACAAAAAAATCCAGAAAAACGCATGTCAAAAATGTTATAAATTGATTTGCATTTTAATGAGGGAAATAAGTATTTGACCCCCTCTCAATCAGAAAGATTTCTGGCTCCCAGGTGTCTTTTATACAGGTAACGAGCTGAGATTAGGAGCACACACTTAAAGGGAGTGCTCCTAATCTCAGTTTGTTACCTGTATAAAAGACACCTGTCCACAGAAGCAATCAATCAATCAGATTCCAAACTCTCCACCATGGCCAAGACCAAAGAGCTCTCCAAGGATGTCAGGGACAAGATTGTAGACCTACACAAGGCTAGAATGGGCTACAAGACCATCGCCAAGCAGCTTGGTGAGAAGGTGACAACAGTTGGTGCGATTATTCTCAAATGGACGAAACACAAAAGAACTGTCAATCTCCCTCGGCCTGGGGCTCCATGCAAGATCTCACCTCGTGGAGTTGCAATGATCATGAGAACGGTGAGGAATCAGCCCAGAACTACACAGGAGGATCTTGTCAATGATCTCAAGGCAGCTGGGACCATAGTCACCAAGAAAACAATTGGTAACACACTACGCCGTGAAGGACTGAAATCCTGCAGCACCCGCAAGGTCCCCCTGCTCAAGAAAGCACATATACAGGCCCGTCTGAAGTTTGCCAATGAACATCTGAATGATTCAGAGGAGAACTGGGTGAAAGTGTTGTGGTCAGATGAGACCAAAATCGAGCTCTTTGGCATCAACTCAACTCGCCGTGTTTGGAGGAGGAGGAATGCTGCCTATGACCCCAAGAACACCATCCCCACCGTCAAACATGGAGGTGGAAACATTGCTTTGGGGGTGTTTTTCTGTTAAGGGGACAGGACAACTTCACTGCATCAAAGGGACGATGGACGGGGCCATGTACCGTCAAATCTTGGGTGAGAACCTCCTTCCCTCAGCCAGGGCATTGAAAATGGGTTGTGGATGGGTATTCCAGCATGACAATGACCCAAAACACACGGCCAAGGCAACAAAGGAGTGGCTCAAGAAGAAGCACATTAAGGTCCTGGAGTGGCCTAGCCAGTCTCCAGACCTTAATCCCAAAGAAAATATGTGGAGGGAGCTGAAGGTTTGAGTTGCCAAACGTCAGCCTCGAAACCCTAATGACTTGGAGAAGATCTGCAAAGAGGAGTGGAACAAAATCCCTCCTGAGATGTGTGCAAACCTGATGGCCAACTACAAGAAACATTTGACCTCTGTGATTGCCAACAAGGGTTTTGCCACCAAGTACTAAGTCATGTTTTGCAGAGGGGTCAAATACTTATTTCCCTCATTAAAATGCTAATCAATTTATAACATTTTTGACATGCGTTTTTCTGGATTTTTTTGTTGTTATTCTGTCTCTCACTGTTCAAATAAACCTACCATTAAAATTATAGACTGATCATGTCTTTGTCAGTGGGCAAACGTACAAAATCAGCAGGGGATCAAATACACTTTTTTCCCTCACTGTAGTTAATTAGACACTTCTGTTTTCTCTCACTGTGTTATTATCATAGATCAGCGACACATACCCTTCTGCCCATGTCTCCAAACATTCTGAAATATGCAATTATGATACCACAGCAAAGCACAACACAGGGAGAGACATTGTTGGAGGGTTGGGGTTAGTTTGGGTTAGTGTTAGCCGTCCCCCCTTCTTCTCAGGGACACACTGTCAAATTCAAAATGGTACCATTAGAGAGTTGTGGCTCCTTTGAGTGTTCCACTACTGAACAAGCTGGCTAACAGTACAGTACTACACAGCACCACATCCACCTGTAGTGGGAGGTACCTACATAAAGTATTGCATCTTCTCTCCTCACCTCCTTCTCAAAACTCATTGGAGATTCTAGGTTCTCCTCCAATCCGTTTCGAGAAGGAGGGGAGGAGAGGATGCAAGGAATCGAGGAAATATGTTTGAGATTCACCCTATGTCCTTATTGTTGACCTCTAACCCCTCTGTCATGGTGACCTCTAACCCCCTATGTCGTCCTCCTCCACAGTGAACAGAGTATCTGCCAAGCCCGCGCCTCTGTCATGGTGACCTCTAAACCCCTGTGTCGTCCTCCTCCACAGTGAACAGAGTATCTGCCAAGCCCGCGCCTCAGTCATGGTGACCTCTAAACCCCTGTGTCGTCCTCCTCCACAGTGAACAGAGTATCTGCCAAGCCCGCGCCTCTGTCATGGTGACCTCTAAACCCCTGTGTCGTCCTCCTCCACAGTGAACAGAGTATCTGCCAAGCCCGCGCCTCAGTCATGGTGATCTCTAACCCCTGTGTCGTCCTCCTCCACAGTGAACAGAGTATCTGCCAAGCCCGCGCCTCTGTCATGGTGTATGATGATGCCAGTAAGAAGTGGGTTCCAATCAAGCCGGGCCAGCAGGGCTTCAGCCGGATCAACATCTACCACAACACGGCCAACAACACCTTCCGCGTGGTCGGGGTCAAACTACAGGACCAGCAGGTACACATACACCCCAACTGCCATTGTCTGAGGGAATTTGTCTGTTCTAGTAATGTTAGTAATTTCTATGGACCTACAAATCTGATGTAGATCTGGTGGAAGACTAGTCACAATGCAAGCCATTACATCTCCATCACACACACTGGCTTTAGTTATAGAGATCATCTCCATCACACACACTGGCTTTAGTTATAGAGATCATCTCCATCACACACACTGGCTTTAGTTATAGAGATCATCTCCATCACACACATTAGTTACTAGTTATCTCTATAGTTTGCAAGACATAGTTATCTCTATAGTTATGTAAGACATACAGTACCAGTCAAAAGTTTGGACACACCTACTCATTCAAGGGACTTTCTTATGAAATAACACATACATAATTATTTAGTAACCAAAAAAGTGTTAAACAAATCAAAATATATGTTATATTTGATATTCTTCAAATAGCCACCCTTTGCCTTGATGACAGCTTTGCACACTCTTGGCATTCTCTCAACCAGCTTCACCTGGAATGCTTCTTCAACAACTCTTGAAGGAGTTCCCACATAGGCTTAGCACTTGTTGGCTGCTTTTCCTTCACCCTGCGGTCCGACTCATCCCAAACCATCTCAATTGGGTTGAGGTCGGGGCATTGTGGAGGCCAAGTCATCTGATGCAGCACTCCATCACTCTCCTTCTTGGTCAAATAGCCCTTACACAGCCTGGAGGTGTGTTGGGTCATTGTCCTGTTGAAAAACAAATGATAGTCCCACTAAGCCGAAACCAGATGGGATGGCGTATTGCTGCAGAATGCTGTGGTAGCCATGCTGGTTAAGTGTGCCTTGAATTCTAAATAAATCACAGACAGTGTCACCAGCAAAGCACCCCCACACCATAACACCTCCTCCATGCTTTACGGTGGGAACTACACATGCGGAGATCATCCGTTCACCCACACCGTGTCTCACAAAGACACAGTGGTTTGAACCAAAAATCTCAAATTTTGACTCCAGACCAAAGGACACATTTCCACCGGTCTAATGTCCATTTCTCATGTTTTTTGGCCCAAGCAGGTCTCTTCTTCTTTTTGGTGTCCTTTAGTAGTGGTTTCTTTGCAGCAATTCGACCATGAAGGCCTGATTCACTCAGTCCCCTCTGAACAGTTGATGTTGAGATGTGTCTGTTACTTGAACTCTGTGAAGCATTTATTTGGGCTGCAATTTCTGAGGCTGGTAACTCTAATGAACTTATCCTCTGCAGCAGAGGTAACTCTGGGTCTTCCATTCCTGTGGCGGTCCTCATGAGAGCCAGTTTCATCATAGCGCTTGATGGTTTTTGCGACTGCACTTGAAGAAACGTTCAAAGTTCTTGAAATGTTCCGTATTGACTGAGTTTCGTGTCTTAAAGTAATGATGGACTGTCATTTCGCTTTGCTTATTTGAGCTGTTCTTGCCATAATATGGACTTGGTCTTTTACCAAATAGGGCAATCTTCTGTATACCCTCCCTACCTTGTCACAACACAACTGATTGGCTCAAACGCATTAAGAAGGAAAGAAATTCCACAAATTAACTTTTAAGAAGGCACACCTGTTAATTGAAATGCATTCCAGGTGACTACCTCATGAAGCTGGTTGAGAGAATGCCAAGAGTGTGCAAAGCTGTCATCAAGGCAAAGGGTGGCTACTTTGAAGAATCTCACATATAACATATATTCTGATTTGTTTAACACTTTTTTGGTTACTACATGATTCCATGTGTGTTATATCATAGTTTTGATGTCTTCACTATTATTCTACAATTTAAAAAATAAAGAAAAACCCTTGAATGAGTGTAGGTGTGTCCAAACTTGACTGGTAGTGTAGTTATCTCTATAGTTATGCAAAACATAGTTATCTCTATAGTTACAGTACATTGACCTAAGCTGACCATAGTAATTGGTGAATAATGAATGAATGAGTGATTGGCTGTCTGTCTCTCAGGTGGTGATCAACTACTCCATAGTGAAGGGGCTGAAGTATAACCAGGCCACGCCCACCTTTCACCAGTGGCGCGATGCCAGGCAGGTGTACGGCCTCAACTTCGCCAGCAAAGAGGAGGCCACCACCTTCTCCAACGCCATGATGTTCGCCCTCAACACGCTCAGCTCGCAAGACGGAGGTGGGACCCTTTCCCGTGTGGAAATAATCAGTCTGTCCATCTGTCTGCCTGTCCGTCTGCCCGTCCGTTCGTCCACCTGTCTGTTTATGTCACAGTCAGGCTTAGCTGGACTGTAGCTGAAACTGATGTATACCAATGATCAGTTAATCTCGGCACGCCAGCTACTAATTGTCAGTCGAAGTGCAGATGTTTTTATCCAGTCATTTGTGGCCAGTATAGCTCCCCTATATTTTAAGGATTGTTGTGGCCAGTATAGCTCAACGATGTTTTAAGGATTGTTGGATGAACATAATATTTGGTTGAACGTGTTTAGGTTGTAATAAGAATAATCTATTTTCAGAAACGCTCTCAACCTGTTCAGTTTACACTTGGTCCAGCCAATGATGTTAGGGCTGCAGGTGCCAGTCAGCCTGGTTGCTGGGTCGATCTCCACTGAGTTCTACCTCCCTCTGCTGGACATCAAGCTCTGGAGCGAAAACACAGCCAGACATATGGCATCTCTATGGCTCTGGGTGAAAGCTTTCAGCAGTGTGTGGGAAACTGGGAATAAAAAACTAACCATAGAACCCTGCCAGACTATAAACTCAGTGACCTAAATTGTGTTCAGTAGGGCACATTGTAGCAAAACATTTAAAATAGTTATGAAACAGAAAATGAAAACAAGCATTTCTTAATAGTTCAAATAGTACCTCCCTATTTCACTTAGTTAATAAAAAAGATCTACTGAACACAACTCTAGAGCCCAGGCTGCCAGACTTGGATACGTTCAGTGGCCTGGCAATTGGTCATCTAAGCATCAAATATGAGGGCCGATTGCAGACACTCGTGACGATACACTGTATGCCGGGAAGCGACACTATCCAAACCAACCATTACAGTTAATCCTTACAACCATTACCACTACACCGCCAGGACAGACACTTGTAAAGACCTGTGTTAGAGGAGATGCATGGTGCCGTCTAGTTTATGGCAACATAAAATAGACTGTATATGAATCCTTACTCTTAAGAAATAGCACATGGGCCTCTCCTGTTACGAGTTGCTGCTACTTATAAGCTGTTGGGATGGGGAGTCCGGTGGTGGCCCCATTCCATACACTAGCCTTCCTATTGGTGCACAGCCTGGCTAAAATACCCATGGAGCTAAACTGTTTTCAGACCGCCAAATCTCACATGGCACTCTCCTTTTTTTGGGGGGGAAATCTTTTGGGGAACAAGAGGGAGGTGTTGGATGTGAGCTGAGCTATGGGGTTCCACACGCAGACCCAAGGTGCTTCTTCTGTCCAGGGAACGCAGACGCAGGCATTCTACTGCTTTATACCTGCTACTGGGGTCCCATGTTGGATCACCCGGCTCGTGGCTAATGCTATTCCAGTAGCCTGGACAGGTGCCTGACTAGAAGCCTTAGTTAGTACCATACAGTAATAGCTTTCTAAAGACACTGTAGGGAACTGCAGAGAGGGTCTCACGATGAGTCTTACTCCAGAGATGTCACCGGCCACTATCAGAAGGTGCACTTCTGCGAAGATCACCCTCAGTAAGTACTGATGAATGTTCCCGTGATGATAGTTGATGCAGGAGTAGGTGATAGAGGGAGGGGGCGGGATCAGGGCTATCTATTGAACGATGGTGCAGCTGACAATGTGAGGCTGGTGGTATTGGCAACACCTCTCTCACCTCTTTCATTGTAGGGCTAAAATAGGGAGGTGGTGTTCCGGAAAATGCCTATGTTGACGTGTAAGCTTAAGCTGTATGCATTTCTGTTGACTGCAAATTAAGGTTTTCCATTCAAACACAACTGTGGCCCCAAGGGGCCCTAATGGGTCAAAGTAGCTGTTACATGTCATGTTTTGGGGCTACAGCCCCACAGGGTGTTTAGCTGTGGCTCCTGAGGTTTGAAATACTCTTTAATAGCATCATATTTAGCTCAAAGAACCCCCATTTAGGCAATTAGGTAATCACCATCTGAGTTAGAGAGAAAGTAGGCCTTGTTTTGTTACTTGAGGGCTTCCATCCTTACTGTGACAGGCCTGATCAAGCCCTAGCACTCCCCTGGGGCACTACTTCTCTCACCTCACCATGGCAACAGCCAGGACCCCATATGTCAGGCCTCTGTGCTTCATCATGCACCAGCCAAGCTAATTCGGCACGTACACAACCTTCCTGTTAACGTCTGTAGATGTGTTGTGTAGCGTTCATAATAACCACTGATTGTGTTAATGGTGTTGGCTGTTGTGTCACTAATCTAAAAGCATTTAATTGTGCAGTCACTAGGCTGTGAGGCTGCAGTTGGTAAGTGGTATTGACTAGAGTGGTCCACATTGTTGTATTTTAATAGTTGATCATTTCCTTTAAAATATTAGGAAATACTTTACCTGTCCAATAATAACCTAGACCCTATCTAACATTTAGTTACTTTGTTGTGTCCGGATCTGGAAATATGTCTACCAAAAGAAAGCATAAAATTGCATATTAGCTTTGCAATGGTTTAATTTGCTGGCAAATAGTATATTAAAGTAATAGATTAGCTGCTAAGAAGGGGAGTTTAGAGGAGACGTGCGGATAACGATCAGCTGCTAAGAAGGGGAGTTTAGAGGAGACGTGCAGATAACGATCAGCTGCTAAGAAGGGGAGTTTAGAGGAGACGTGCAGATAACGATCAGCTGCTAAGAAGGGGAGTTTAGAGGAGACGTGCGGATAACGATCAGCTGCTAAGAAGGGGAGTTTAGAGGAGACGTGCGGATAACGATCAGCTGCTAAGAAGGGGAGTTTAGAGGAGACGTGCAGATAACGATCAGCTGCTAAGAAGGGGAGTTTAGAGGATAATAATAACATATTTCCCCTTCATGAGATGATGACTGTGAGAGATGAAACATGAGACGGTTTGGGGTTGGGAATGAATCTAGTTTTAGAAAGCGTTACAGCACTATATTCCAAAACCACAGTACTTTATTCCAAAACAACTCAGCCAACAACCTCGCCTTAGTTGCTCATTGTGAATGAGATGAATTCATTATGATGTCACCAAGTTTAGAAACCCTCCAGATGGTTGGATACGGTAGGACAGAGGAATCCTCTCTGTTTCTGAGGCAGAACTCCAGTTACCCTATGAGAAAAAGACGTTGAAAAGACGTTGGGTAAAAACGTATTTTTGGTTGAAAGGATGTTGAAAATACGTATTTTCAATGCCTTGCGCTGACTGGGTAAGCAGTGTCCATATAAAGATGCTCCATGTGTCCCTCATGCCGACCACACCCAGCGGAAATGACACCCAAGGGCGGTCTAGTGTTGCAAAGGGGCATCAAGGGTTTATTGGTTGGCATTCCTGATATGCAATACGTGGTCTCCCAGATGGCCTTTTATAACAGGCGTCTCTCAGAATAGGCTCTCCTCCTCAGTTAGCTGGGGCACTAGAGTATGTCTCACAGTCACCCCTTCACACACACCTCTGTGCAGCACCCCAGTGACGTCAAGGTACGTCATAAAGACGTCATATTTTGGTTGTTATGTGGTCAGTAAAAATATGTTTAAAAAAACGTCTAGTATACCTTACCATGATGGCATAATGACAGTTTTGTCTGCTGGGTTGGGGGTTTCTGCACCGGGCCATTGTCTCCATGTACTTTATTTGTTGATCCTGTTGTTGTTGAATATCTCTTGACAAAGACTGGTGAAGTTAGACGTTGTTCCAATGGAAATGAGGAATATTACATTCCATCCAATCTGGTTCAGGATTGGCGATCAAGGATGGTTTGGTTCATGCATTTGTTGTGTTGAATGCAGAATGCACTGTAGGAGCTGTACACAGATGTGGGAAGGAGGGGAGGGCAGGTCAGGTCTATTCTGGTCTACAGTCTGCTGGCCCTGTTTTGTTGCGGTTTCCTGTGGAAATGCCTGTGGTTTGCATCAATCATGCTGTGGGAGAAAAAAAACCACAGTGTGTTTCTCTAGGCAGAAGCGTAGAACCTCATGTGATGCCTGGTGTGGTTCCCACCCCGCATAGCCTGGTCCCAGATCTGCTTGTGCTGGATAGCCAACTATGGTCATCATGCCAATGACTACAAAGGAGTTGACAAGACAGTACAAACAGATCTGGGAAACACCATGCTAACGTCTAGTGCTAATGCTATAAACACCGTGCTAATGTCTAGTGCTAATGCTATAAACACCGTGCTAACGTCTAGTGCTAATGCTATAAACACCGTGCTAATGTCTAGTGCTAATGCAATAAACACAGTGCTAATGTCTAGTGCTAATGCTATAAACACCGTGCTAATGTCTAGTGCTAATGCAATAAACACCGTGCTAATGTCTAGTGCTAATGCAATAAACACCGTTCTAATGTCTAGTGCTAATGCTATAAACACCGTGCTAATGTCTAGTGCTAATGCTATAAACACCGTGCTAACGTCTAGTGCTAATGCTATAAACACCGTGCTAATGCTAAAATCTGAATGTATACAAACAAGACATGCCGTGGCTAATCGAGTGTGTAGCTCAGGAGAATCTAGAGGAGAGGAAGAGCGTGAGGACACACAGCAGCAGCCAGAGGGGAGGACAGGGGGAGGCACACCCTTCGCTTGTGAGATGACACATGCCATTTGACCCAGCATGCAATTTATGGAATTAACTGGCTCTCTGTCAAAGCCCCTGCCTGCATTTGAGGCGGTTATTTTGGATGTTAGGTCACATGGTCATTATTTTTGCTACGTTCAACTACTGCGCTTTTCTTTGATACCCTTTTGTAGCTGCCAAAGTAAAAGGCAGCCATAGATGTAGCTAAGTGAGCAATAGTGGTTTCTTGTTAAACTGAATTGACAAGGGCTCACTATGTGTCTGTGAGCACATCGTCGCGGTCTGATGAAAACCTCTCATCTCCAAAACTGGAAATGGAAAAAAATAACGGCCATATTTTCCCATTAACAAACATACAATTATGATACTTCAGTAGATATTTTAGATATATTTACTTGGTCCTAGAGTCATGAAATGTTCACAGTGCATTAAGGGGAGTTACTACTTTCAGTACAAGTAATAAAAAAAATGTTTTTCTTTAAATAAAGGTTTTCATCAGCCAGCAACGACATACTGTACAAATATGAATGTTATAAAAAAATACCACCACGGGCAAAATAGACACTGCTACCGAAGTCTATTTAACAGATAACAGCATATACTTGAATAGTGTGGTGAGGGGGTGCATGAAACATGAAAGTTGTGGTGACTATCGCTAGTGGCGAATCAGACCTGTGCATCATCATGTACAGTGCCCTCCGTAATTATTGGGACAGTGAAGCATTTTTTCTTATTTTGGCTCTTTACTTCAAAACAATGACTACGAGGTTAAAGTGCAGACGGTCAGCTTTAATATGAGGGTATTTTCATCCATATTGGTTGAACCATTTAGAAATTAAGACTTTTTTTATTTTACATAGTCCCCCCCCCCCCATTTTAGGAGACCAAAAGTATTGGGACAAATTCACTTATATGTGTATTAAAGCAGTAAAAGGTGTAGTATTTGGTCCCATATTCCTAGCATTTGCTGTTCATTTTGGTTGTGTTGCAGATTATTTTGTACCCAATAGAAATTAATGGTAAATAATGTATAGTGTCACTTTTATTGTAAATAAGAATAGAATGTGCTTCTAAACACTTCTACAATAATGTAACAACAGAAAATACATCCAACAAATTTGTAGTCACAAGCTTAATGTAGTTATTGCGTGCTATGAATATGGATACTAAAGGTTTTACTACTTTAATACACATACTGTATAAGTGGATTTGTCCCAATACTTTTGACCCCCTAAAATCTGGGGACTATGTACAAAAAGTGCTGTCATTTCTAAATGGTTCACTCGATATGGATGAAAATACCGTAAAATTAAAGTCGACCGTCTGCACAACCTCATAGTCATTGTTATGGAGTAAAGAGCCAAAATAAGAAAAAATGCTTCACTGTCCCAATAATTACAGAGGGCACTGGTATTGTTATACTGTATGTAGCCTCAGTCATATTTAGCATGTTGAATGTACCTCTACTACTGCAGGGGAGGGTGTGGCATATGACAAAACTATTCACAAACACCAAAGCTATAGGTCATTTCATACCTAGCTAAATACGTTCACCTGTTTCTGTTCCCCACCTCAGGCCCTGCTGTCCAACGTCAAAATGGGCCCTCCTCAGACGACCCCGATGCACAGAGGAGGTAAGAACATCCAACCTTCAGAAAGACACCAAATAGTGATATACAGCGGGAGAAAAAGTAAACAGGCCACCAATTGTGCAAAGCACCCAAAAACATAGAACCTAACATGGCACACGTGACACAAGTAGAGAAAAAAATCAGAAAATCACCAGTAGGATTTTTAAAATGAATTTATTTGCAAATTTAGTGGAAAATAAGTATTTGGTCAATAACAAAAGTTTCTCAGTACTTGTTAATTACCTTTGTTGGCAATGACACAGGTCAAACGTTTTGGATAGTCTTCACAGGTTTTCACACACTTGCTGGTATTTGGCCATTCCTGCATGCAGATCTCCTCTATGAAAGTGACGTCTTGGCTCGTCTGTAGGATAAAGACCAACTAAAAAAATTCTTCACTGTCCCAATGATTCAGAGGGCACTGGTATGTATACTGATGTCCTTCGTCACATTTGCATGTTGAACTGACGTCTACTACTGGCATGGGAGGGTGTGGCAATGACACACATTCTATTACAACCCAAAGCTGAAGGGTCATTTCTACCTCATAATACGTTCACCGTTCTCTGTTCCCCACTCATCCTTCCTGTCCAACGTCAGAATGGGCCCTCCTCAGACGACCCCATCACAGGGAGGTAAACATCCATCTTCAAACCAGCTCAATAGTATGTATCAATCTCAGGTGTAACGTAGAACATCATCAAACACACAGTAGAACACTACACAAACAATCAATAGGTTCATGACCAAGACATCTAGAACCCAGCAGATACACCAAATTGAACGGCTGACAGTAGCAGCACAGTAGAGCACACAGTTAGATCACATTAGCAGACACCAGCTAGTTACGCATGAGACGCTTTGTCATAACATCAGGTAGAACACACGCAGAACACACAGGTAACACCCAGTAGAGTTCGAATCTGCCAAACCTCGTGTAACATTAGTAACCCACGACGAGAACCAGTGGACCACCAAGCAGAACACACATAGAGACTACGATCATCAGAATCCCAAGCAGAACCCACAGTTGATCAAACAACGCATAACCAGTTAGAACACACCAGCAGAAGTCACGTTAGAACACAAGTTTGACACACGCATAACACTACTGTCTAGGCACACAGTAGAATCAAGGTAGAAACATGGCAGTACACGGCAGAATCACTTGGTAGAACACAGTTCAAACATCCAAATCGGCAGAACGACGTAGAACACACGGTAGAACTTACAACGTAGAAACAACAGCAGAACACACAGTAGAAACCAGTAAATCTCTGAGGACACAACACGGTATTTACACACGGTAGAATCACAACGTAAAAAACACAGACACACAGTGAACCTTTTGACCAAGTTTCGCAAACGTAGTAACCAGTAGAAACAACAGCAGCACACATTTGTAGAAACACTTGCACACTGGCTGACCAAACATTATCCCACTGAAACACAGTGGTACTAGAACACACAGTAGAACACACGAGAAACAACAGTAGACACACAGCAGAACACACAGTCAGAACACACAGTAGAACACACGTAGAACACAGTAGAACACACGGTAGAACACCACAGAGAACACACGTAGAAACACACGGTAGAACACACAGTAGAACACACAGCAGAACACAGTAGAACACACAGCAGAACACACAGTAGAACACACATAGAACACACGCAGACACACGGTAGAACACACGGTAGAAACACAACGGTAGAACACACAGCAGAACACACAGCAGAACACACAGTAAACACACACAAGCAGAAACACACGGTAGAACCACACACGGTAGAACACACGTGTAGAAACACAGTAGAACACACAGCAGAAAGACACAGTAGAACACCCAGTAGAACACACAGCAGAACACACAGTAGAACACACAGTAGAACACACGGTAGAACAAACAGTAGAACACACGGTAGAACACACAGCAGAACACACAGTAGAACACACAGTAGAACACACGCAGAACACACAGCAGAACACACAGTAGAACACACAGTAGAACACACAGTAGAACACACGGTAGAACACACAGTAGAACACACAGCAGAACACACAGTAGAACACACAGTAGAACACACGGTAGAACAAACAGTAGAACACACGGTAGAACACACAGCAGAACACACAGTAGAACACACAGTAGAACACACAGTAGAACACACAGCAGAACACACAGTAGAACACACAGCAGAACACACAGTAGAACACACAGTAGAACACACAGCAGAACACACGGTAGAACACACGGTAGAACACACGGTAGAACACACAGCAGAACACACAGCAGAACACACAGTAGAACACACAGCAGAACACACGTAGAACACACGGTAGAACACACACGTAGAAAACACACAGTAGAACCCACAGAGAAAAGACACAGTAGAACACCACAGTAAACACACAGCAGAACACACGGTAGAACACACAGTAGAACACACGGTAGAACACACAGCAGAACACACAGTAGAACACACAGCAGAACACACAGTAGAACACCCAGTAGAACACACAGCAGAACACACAGCAGAACACACAGCAGAACACACAGTAGAACACCACAGTAGAACACACAGCAGAACACACAGCAGAACACACAGCAGAACACACAGTAGAACACACAGTAGAACACACAGTAGAACACACAGCAGATAACAACAGTGAACACAGAGATAACACACACAGGACACACGTCTGTAAACCCACATGTAGAACCCACATCAAACAGCCAGCATAACACTTCGTAGAAAGATTGGTTTGTGTACAAAACAGCAATACCCAAGCATCTCAACCAGTGACTACAAGTCTGGTAAAACTTGCTAGAATCCATCATCAAACGTGTTCCCTTATTTCATTTGTCTGAAAGTAGTTTGTTTGAGGGTACAAAACACATCAGGCCTACCACATATCCCTACCAATTCCCTACCCATACCCTCCCACATATCCCCTTACCACATCAGGCCTACCACATATCCCCTACCACATATCCCTTACCACATCAGGCCTACCACATATCCCCTACCACATCAGGCCTACCACATATCCCCTACAACATATCCCTTACCACATCAGACCTACCACGTATCCCCTACCGCATCAGGCCTACCACATATTCCATACCACATCAGGCCTAACACATATCCCATACCATATCAGGCCTAACACATATCCCATACCATATCAGGCCTATCACATATCCCATACCACATCTGTAGCCATGAAGTGCTTTGAAAGGCTGGTCATGGCTCACATCAACACCATTATCCCAGAAACTCTACACCCACTCCAATTTGCATACCGCCCCAACAGATCCACAGATGATGCAATCTCTATTGCACTCCACACTGCCCTTTCCCACCTGGACAAGAGGAACACCTACGTGAGAATGCTATTCATTGACTACAGCTCAGCATTAAACACCATAGTGCCCTCAAAGCTCATCACTAAGCTAAGGACCCTGGGACTAAACACCTCCCTCTGCAACTGGATCCTGGACTTCCTGACGGGCCGCCCCCAGGTGGTAAGGGTAGGTGGCAACACATCTGCCACGCTGATCCTCAACATGGGGGCCCCTCAGGGGTGCGTGCTCAGTCCCCTCCTGTACTCCCTGTTCACCCATGACTGCATGGCCAGGCACGACTCCAACACCATCATTAAGTTTGCCGACGACACAACAGTGGTAGGCCTGATCACCGACAACAATGAGACAGCCTATAGGGAGGAGGTCAGAGACCTGGCTGTGTGGTGCCAGGACAACAACCTCTCCCTCAATGTGATCAAGACAAAGGGGATGATTGTGGACTACATGAAAAAAAAGAGGACTGAGCACGCCCCCATTCTCATCAACGGGGCTGTAGTGGAACAGTTTGAGAGCTTCAAGTTCCTTGGTGTCCACATCACCAACAAACTATCATGGTCCATGCACACCAAGACAGTCGTGAAGAGGGTACGACAAAGCCTTTTCCCCCACAGGAGACTGAAAAGATTTGGCATGGGTCCTCAGATCCTCAAAAAGTTCAACAGCTGCACCATCGAGAGCATCCTGACTGGTTGCATCACTGCCTGGTATGGCAACTGCTCGGCCTCCGACCGCAAGGCACTACAGTTAGTAGTGCGTACGGCCCAGTACATCACTGGGGCCAAGCTTCCTGCCATCCAGGACCTCTGTACCAGGCGGTGTCAGAGGAAGGCCCTAAAAATTGTCAAAGACTCCAGCCACCCTAGTCATAGACTGTTCTCTCTGCTACCGCACGGCAAGCGGTACCGGAGCGCCAAGTCTAGGTCCAAAAGGCTTCTTAACAGCTTTTACCCCCAAGCCATTAGACTCCTGAACAGCTAATCATGGCTACCCGGACTATTTGCATTGTTCCCCCCCCCCCACCCCATTCTACCCCACCCCCTTTTTTACGCTGCTGCTACTACGTTTATAATCTATGCATAGTCACTTTAACTCTACCCACATGTACATATTACTGTGACGAGTTCTGAGGATACGAAGAGGCAGGACGCAGACGCAGGAATCAACAATGTAAAGGTTTCCTTAACACTGAGCAAGAGAACAACAAAGAGCGAGTACACGACACGACACGACACTAACAATCACACACAACACAACGCTGAACAGTCCAGGGCTGTATAGGGGTAGTGATGAGATGATGAGGTGCAGGTGCGCTGGAGGTGATTAGGGTGCGTTGGGTTTCCATTCCGGTGTTGCCGAGGTAGTGCGCTCAGACCGGTAGCTGTGCCCACGCACATTGACTCTGTACCGGTACCCCCTGTATATAGCCTCCCTACTGTTATTTTATTTTACTGCTGCTCTTTAATTATTTGTTATTTTAATTTGTATATCTATTTTTTTACTTAACATGATCAATGAGTTAGCAGGATCAACGAGTTAGCCAGCTAACTTTGATGAACATTCAGAAATAAAAATAGTTTCTGGTTCATTAATGAATCTAGACTTGAATATTGGTTGTTTGTTGAAACAATTGAATCAATCCATGTCCATTGTAGGACATATATTCCTAAAACATGTGAAGTTATTTCTGAACAGTGAAGCATGTTAGCTGGCTAACTCATTGATCCTGCTTTGTAGTATGCCCCTCTGGCTTAATATTTGTTTACCCTTTTTTATAAGTGGAGCCAGTACTCAAGCAGTAGAAAATTAGAGGCAATGTCAAGCAGCAATCTATTCATGGGCACAGATTGAAAGGCTGGCTATAGGGAGAGGCTAAAACATGTGTCTGTGCCCTCTTTGTATCTGCAGACAAATGATGGAGCCGCATCCGATGCAGGGAGTGGCCCACAAAGAGAGGGAGCGACGGACGTCTGGCTCGGGTAAGGCCTGCCGACAAACACACCTACTGTGGACAAACACACCTACTGTGGACAAACACACCTACTGTGGACAAACACTATCATGTCAGGCAAGGCAGGGTCTGTCAACACACAAGCCACAATACGTTTCGCCCACGTCAATACACCATCTCACAGATAACGTCTATTCTCTCCATGGGGATAGCATGGTAATCATGGTAACCAAATAGCCCAGTGTAGCGCATGTTGGTTGTGTTCATTAGGCTCCAAATGGAAGAAAAACTGACTGAAACAGGGAGGGACTACCTGAACTTGGCCAATAAGATACGCTCATGATTGTTTTCGGCTGCAAAGCGTTTTGCTACAGTGTGCCCTAATGACTACGACCATAGATATAGCGTTACCTCGGACACATCTGTGTTTGTGTTGAATCCCCCTCCCTCCTGCCCTCCGTTTACTCATGCTTATCCATACACAAACATCAACATTCCCCAGGGCCATAGAGACACTCATTCTGCCAGCGCGTTACCGGCAGCTGGGGGACAATGTGACAGAGAGTTTGGTCATGTTGGGCCATAGAGACACTCATTCTGCCAGTGCGTTACCGGCAGCTGGGGGACAATGTGACAGAGAGTTTGGTCATGTTGGGCCATAGAGACACTCATTCTGCCAGCGCGTTACCGGCAGCTGGGGGACAATGTGACAGAGAGTTTGGTCATGTTGGGCCATAGAGACACTCATTCTGCCAGCGCGTTACCGGCAGCTGGGGGACAATGTGACAGAGAGTTTGGTCATGTTGGGCCATAGAGACACTCATTCTGCCAGCGCGTTACCGGCAGCTGGGGGACAATGTGACAGAGAGTTTGGTCATGTTGGGCCATAGAGACACTCATTCTGCCAGCGCGTTACCGGCAGCTGGGGGACAATGTGACAGAGAGTTTGGTCATGTTGGGCCATAGAGACACTCATTCTGCCAGCGCGTTACCGGGCAGCTGGGGGACAATGTGACAGAGAGTTTGGTCATGTTGGGCCATAGAGACACTCATTCTGCCAAGCGCGTTACCGGCAGCTGGGGACAATGTGACAGAGAGTTTGGTCATGTTGGGCCATAGAGACACTCATTCTGCCAGCACGTTACCGGCAGCTGGGTGACAATGTGACAGAGAGTTTGGTCATGTTGCATTCTGCTTCTTTTTCTTCTCTGTGATTGTGTTCTCCGTTTGTGATTTATCATCTTTGCTTGGTTTCTCATTATTCTCTCTCTTTTTTTTCATTTGTCTTCCACCCCCCCTTCCCTCCTCTGTGGTGTCCCCCCCCCTCCTCCTCTGTGGTGTCCCCCCCCCCCCTCCTCCTCTGTGGTGTCCCCCCCTCCTCCTCTGTGGTGTCCCCCCCCCTCCTCCTCTGTGGTGCCCCCCCCCCTTTCCTCCTCTGTGGTGTCCCCCCCCCCCCTCCTCCTCTGTGGTGTCCCCCCCCCCCCCCCTTCCTCCTCTGTGGTGTCCCCCCCTCCTCCTCCTCTGTGGTGTCCCCCCCCCCCCTCCTCCTCTGTGGTGTCCCCCCCCCCCTTCCTCCTCCTCTGTGGTGTCCCCCCCCCCCCTTCCTCCTCTGTGGTGTCCCCCCCCCCTCCTCCTCTGTGGTGTCCCCCCCCCCTTCCTCCTCTGTGGTGTCCCCCCCCCTTCCTCCTCTGTGGTGTCCCCCCCTCCTCCTCCTCTGTGGTGCCCCCCCCCCCCCTTTCCTCCTCTGTGGTGTCCACCCCCCTCCTCCTCTGTGGTGTCCCCCCCCCCCCCCCCCCCCTCCTCCTCTGTGGTGTCCCCCCCCCCCTTCCTCCTCTGTGGTGTCCCCCCCCCCCTCCTCCTCTGTGGTGTCCCCCCCCCCTTCCTCCTCTGTGGTGTCCCCCCCCCTTCCTCCTCTGTGGTGTCCCCCCCTTCCTCCTCTGTGGTGTCCCCCCCCCCTCCTCCTCCTCCTCGTGGTGTCCCCCCCCCCCTCCTCCTCCTCCTCCTCTGTGGTGCCCCCCTCCTCCCTCCTCCCTCCTCTGTGGTGTTCCCCCCCTCCTCCTCCTCTGTGGTGCCCCCCCCCCCTCCTCCTCCTCTGTGGTGTTTCCCCCCCCCCCCCCTCCTCCTCCTCTGTGGTGTTCTTCCCCCCCTCCTCCTCTGTGGTGTTCCCCCCCTCCTCCTCTGGGTGTTCCCCCCCCTCCTCCTCTGTGGTGTTCCCCCCCTCCTCCTCCTTCTGTGGTGTTCTTCCCCCCTCCTCCTCTGTGGTGTCCCCCCCCCCCCCCTCCTCTGTGGTGTCCCCCCCCCCCCCTCCTCTGTGGTGTCCCCCCCTCCCCCCTCCTCCTCCTCTGTGGTGTTCCCCCCCTCCTCCCTCCTCCCTCCTCTGTGGTGTTCCCCCCCCTCCTCCTCCTCTGTGGTGCCCCCCCCCCTCCTCCTCCTCTGTGGTGTTCCCCCCTCCTCTTCCTCTGTGGTGTTCCCCCCCCCTCTTCCTCTGTGCTGTCCCCCCACCCTCCTCTGTGGTGTCCCCCCCTCCTCCTCCTCCTCCTCCCCCTCCTCTGTGGTGTCCCCCCCTCCCCCCTCCTCCTCCGTGGTGTTCCCCCCCCCGCCTCTTCCTCTTCCTCCTCCTCTGTGGTGTTCCCCCCCTCCCCCTCCTCTGTGATGTCCCCCCCTCCTCCTCCTCTGTGGTGTTCTTCCCCCCTCCTCCTCTGTGATGTCCCCCTCTCCTCCTCCTCTGTGGTGTTCCCCCCCCCACCTCTTCCTCTTCCTCCTCCTCTGTGGTGTTCCCCCCCCTCCCCCTCCTCTGTGATGTCCCCCCCTCCTCCTCCTCTGTGGTGTTCTTCCCCCCTCCTCCTCTGTGGTGTCCCCCCCCCCCCCCCTCCTCTGTGGTGTCCCCCCCCCCCCCTCCTCTGTGGTGTTCTTCCCCCCTCCTCCTCTGTGGTGTCCCCCCCCCCCCCTCCTCTGTGGTGTCCCCCCCCCCCCTCCTCTGTGGTGTTCTTCCCCCCTCCTCCTCTGTGGTGTTCTTCCCCCCCCCCCCTCCTCTGTGGTGTCCCCCCCCCCCCTCCTCTGTGGTGTCCCCCCCTCCCCCCTCCTCCTCCTCTGTGGTGTTCTTCCCCCCTCCTCCTCTGTGGTGTGTTATAGTTGTTTCCACCCTCCAGTATAAGGTGTCCTCCCCCCCCTCTCACCCCTCTAACACCCCTCCTGAGTATAGACACTACCGGGCCGCCACACTGCCGCCCTCCTACGCCCGAGTGGCCTCCAACTCCTCCCCTTCCTCCCAGGAGAGAGAGGTGGCGGGCGGACGGGCTGGTGACAACTCCGCCCAGCTCTCCACCTCCCTGGCCTCGGCCCTCTCCCCTGTCCATTCAGGGGTGCCCACGGCCCTGACCCGGCAGGTGCGCCAGATCCCCCTCTCTCCCCCCACGGCGCGGGCCCTCCGCCAGGGTGACCCCCGGCAGGACCCTGTGCTGCCCCCCAAACACAGCACCTGGTCCGCCTCCCATGCCCACATTTACGGCCCCGTGCCCTCCACGCCCCCCGTGGTGGGCATGATGCCCGTGCACATGCCCCCCGTGCCCCAGCCTGTCCTCCCAGTGGCCCTCCCTCTGCCGCCCCGCCAAAGCCGGGTCAAGCTCCACCACCTGGACCTGGCCGGCCAACCCCACATCCCGCCCCACCCCCCCCCCCACGCCAATGGCCTATCAGAGGATTATTATGACCTCGCTCAGCAGCAGCAGCAACAGCAGCAGCTAGGTTACTGCGAGGCTACTTCCTTGCCCCCTCTGATTGGTCAGTCTGCCCAGGGCCCCGTCCCTGTCTCCTCCAACCAACCCCAGTACCCCTCCTCCTTCCACCACCCCCAGGCCGCGCCCCCACCACCACCAGCAGCCCAATTCTTTCCCCCCTCATACACCACAGCCCCATCAGAGGGGGGCTCACCCAAGCAGACGCCCTCTCCCAACTCTCAGGCTGCCACGGCCAGCTGCAGTAAGTACATGCAGAGCTCAAAGAGACAGGCACTTGGACAACTAGTGGGGACTCCACTGGCTTATGTGGATGGAAGTATATACCTATTATGAATCCAATAACAGTCCCCAGATTCAGCCATCTGCTACAATAACAGTCCCCATATACAGCCATCTGCTACAATAACAGTCCCCATATTCAGCCATCTGCTACTGTACTTTTGCTTTTTGATTCACTTTAAATCCAATTGCTCTTATCTGAGGACTATTTATTCAAATCAGAGCTTGCCAGCAGTGTTAGCCAATGAGGAGTATGATGTCACCTGATGTGAACCTATGCTGTCTATTGGTTTCCTCCCAGGTCCGGTTTCTCTCCCCACCATGCTCGCTGTGGCCCCACCGGTGGCCCCACCCATGCCTATGGCCCCCCCTGCCCCTATGGCACCCATGGCCCCCCCTCCTCCACCGGGCCCCCCGCCTCCGGCCACGGTGCCACCGCCCATGCCCCCCCCACTACCGGTTGGTGGAGGGCCCGGGGGGCCTCCGATAGAGGGGGCAGGGAACGAGCTAGCGCAGCCACTCTCAGGACTGGCTGCCGCCCTGGCTGGAGCCAAACTCCGCAAAGTTGCAAGGGTTAGTATCTCAGCTTAGACTCAGATCGTGGTGAGTAGAAAGAAAACTTTTTGAAACAGGGAGGTACTATCTGAACATGTCCAATAAGAAACATTCTTTTTTTTGTTTCCCTTTCCAATACGTTTTAAATATGTTTTGCTATGGTGTGCCCCACTGAACAAGACCATTCACACCTATGTGGAAACTGCTTGGACATTCATACCATTGCATATACACATTGCCTGTTGGTTGACTTCTATGAGATGGAACTCATATGGTGGCCATTGTTGTGTCCTCAGGATGAGAACAGTCCGCCAGGAACAGGTGGAGCCAAGAACGACGGCAACCGCTCCAGTGGAGGTAGTGGTGGTGGAGGGGAGGGGCTGATGCAGGAAATGAACGCCCTTCTAGCACGCAGGTGAGAGGAACAACTGTGTGTGAAAGAACGATGAATCAAATTTAATTGAATTGAAAATCCCTATTCTGGGCCTCCCGAGTGGTGCAGCGGTCTAAGGCACTGCATCGCAGTGCTAGAGGCGTTACTACAGACCCGGGTTCATTCCCGGACTGTGCCACAACCGGCCGTGGCCGGGAGTCCCATAGGACAGTGCACAATTGGCCCAGCATCGTCCGGGTTAGGGGAGGGTTTGGCCAGTGTATCATTTTGATAAAGAATATTCTGGAGTTGAACATTTTTTCATTGAAGATCATCACAAAAAAAGGTATTCCTTGATGTGATTGTAAGTAGATAGACTACTAGCCTGTGAAATACCCCGAGTGATTTGCAACATGACTGAAGTTGTCTTTTCCATTAGCTTTGGATCGTCTCTAATTGCCTGAATTTACTTTTCCTGCAGACGGAAAGCCTCCGAGAAACCTGAAGAGGTAATTCACTTGATCTTATTTGAAAAATATCAATTATAAATTCAACAGGGTGGGTCTATCCAGCAACAATAATTGCATTCAATCAATCAATCTAAAGATGATTGCGCACACACACACACACACACACATCATCCATTTTCATTTTCCATTACAGGAGGATCCCAAGCCAGGGCAGAACTCCACAGGTAAACACTCTCCTGCCTCCACATTTTCTGACCATTATCTTTGTTATTGGCTGCATTGAGCCAGGGTGCTTTATAAAATGATTATCTTATAATTGTGATGCTCTCTCTCTATAGATGCAGGGAAGAATCCATGGGACCGAGCCAACTCTGTAGACAAGGCCTCACTGGTATCAAGGTTAGCGCCATCCGTTTCATAGAGGCTCCCAAACCTTTTAAAAAGATCTAGGCCTGGGGGGGGGGGGAACCCCAATAGCAATGGCCATTCGGTGAGAAGATAAAGGCTTAGCAAATGAATCATGGACATCGTTAAATACACAGATACACTAAAATATGTGGGTGTGGTTTATCAGCTTATTCTGTGGTAAACAGTAACCGTGGGAGTGTTTGCTTATTGCATTGAGGAAGCTTGTGATATCAGTAAATGTAAACAGCCCTATGGCAGCAGTAAATTAGCTGGAGAAAACATGACTTTATCTACTGTCTATTTTATATATAAAAAGGTCTACTTTATCTACTGTCTATTTTGGGTAAATCTAGGTAATTTACTCTGAAAGTTCTAACAAATGTATATTTATCGATGATTTAAAATCATCCCTAATGTTTTTGATGTTGTTTTGCAGGGTGCGACCAGTGGGCTGCACTAGTGAGGGAGATCTAGACTTTGACAGGATGAAGCAGGTATGAAACTCATTCCAAAACTGTTCTTCAAATTGTTCAATGGAAGAAAAGTATTGTGGAAGAAATGTAAAAAGTATTTTTTAACCCCACAGGAAATCTTGGATGAAGTTGTACGTGAATTGCAGAAGGTGAAAGATGAGATCATTAATGGTAGGGGACACAGAGTGTTAATGCATTGTGTTATGTTACTCATAAAAAGGCACGCGCAGCATCAGTGAGCAATTAACCTGCAAACCAACTAAGGCCATTCTTATTCATCCACTTTCTATAGTCCAATTCAGTTTCTGTTACAGCAAACAAAGGTCTCCTAATTAAGTATGTCCTGAGAGGATGCTAGCTATACAGTTCACCTGTTTACTAATTCATAGTAATCCCCATTCCTTTTGAAATAGACAAAGGTTCAGTGATAATGCCGTCCCTCATCCTCTACTCAACACGCGCACGCACACACACACACGCACACACACACACACACGCGGCAACATTTTCTCCATTTTGTCTTGTCTTTCAGCCATTAGACAAGAAATTGGTCGAATCCATACCTCTTAATCTGTGGACAGCGGGATGTGCTGGAAGTACGAAGGATAAGAAGATGTGGTCGGAAGGAATGTTCTCAACGTTTCTGTGACGCTATGAAAATATTGCTGTGACGCTGCAGAAAGGTTGAGCCAACATTGAGTCTGCTGTGCAGAACGGAGAGGTGGAAAAGAAAAAAAAAGTCAGAGAAAGAAAGAGAATGAGAGAGAAAAGATTGGTTAAATCAACAAAGGATGTGCGGACGGAAGGATGGACGGACGGAAGGATGGACGGACGGACGGACGCTTGCACCGTTTTCCGTTTTTTTCCTCTGTGCATTTCGAGACTCAGTCCAGCTCTCAGTCTGTTCGAAGTCTTACAAAATAAAATATTTTTGTTTTCTAAGTTACTGTTTTTATTTTATTTATTTTTATTTTTTTAACTGTGATTATTGTATTATTCGTACTATTATAGAGAGAGAGAGACAAAAGGCAAAACTGTTGTTCTACATTGGTGGGTCCTGGAGGAAACTTGTACACCAATTACATTACATCAGCCTTTTATATTTTATATGATTTACTTTACCCTTGGGTGTTTGACCAGCACATATGGCACATACTGTGCTTTAGTCACCTGACCTCAGTTTTTAAAAAGCTTTTTATCTATTTACCAGTAACAGGGCAGTGTTCATTGGGCCCGAAATGGAAGAAAACTGATCAACAGGGAGGGACTACCTGGACCTGTCCAATAAGAAATACACATTTCCATTCTCCATTGCAAATGGTTTTGAAAATATTTTCCATTTTGTGCCATAATGAACACAATCCCGGTGTATGAAATCACTGTAATTTGGGGATCATTCACAAAACGTACCCACAACTGTAAATTCACCACCTATGTTTTCCCAAAATAGATGAAATGATCCCTTGGCTGTCCCTACGAAACCCAGAGGAACTATACAGTAGAGTCTATATCTGAGGTGTCAAACGAGGTCCGGAGGACCGCACTGAAAATTGGTTAAATTTCCTTGCTGTCAAAATTTGCTAAAAAAAAGGGTCTATCCATCGTTTTGGGAATTTGATGCTCACTGACTGTCTAGCTTTCATTTTAGGTGATTATTAGCGAGTTGGACACAGTCAAGAAACTGTATGAATGTAGGTCCATTTTCATTTTTACACAGTTTGGTTTTAGTCATTTTAAAGTATATTGAGTTGGCCCCCCCAAAAAAAAAAAAATTGCAAACAAATTATTTGTTTTAACTCAAACCACCCACGGGCCAGATCGGACCCCCTCATGGGATTGGAACCCCTATGTTTGACACCCCTGGTATATATGGTTTGGTCCGGTGTATTAACCATGCATGAATCTAATCTTTATGAATTTTTTTATTGGGTTTCAAAAATGGTGGTACATTTACAATGGTGGTTAGTTTTTGTGAATATCTACCTTGCTATTTAAAGTAACTGTCCAGTGTTTCCAGATTGATTAAATATTACCTATAATGAATTACAATATGAGTGAAATACTTAAATTACAATCTTTTGGAAGGAAAGGCATGTTAAAAAGCAGCTTTTCTATATTGAAAGGTGTGGGCATACCCCCAACAGAATGGTGTGGGCATATACTGGTCATTAAAAATATTCATGCGAGTAGACTGCTGATTGGCCAGCTCAGCCAATGAGGCAGGGTGACATCATTCGCTATGAGGAAATAGCAAGCATTTTTGAATCGGTCTGTTTGAGATACAAGTTTGAGGTGGGGTTTTGAAGTGTTTTTTTTCTCCAATTTATGCTTTGGCCACAAAGACGAGTATAGGATGAGTCATCAACATTATTTGGATATGATTTAACAGAATATGAAGTTTTAAAAGTGACATTTTCACTGGACAGTTACTTTAAGGTTGAACTTGAATTTGATATGTGAAAATGGGAGTCAGTTGCTCTTGCAAATTAAAAGTATACATGAATCAGTGCAAAAGTTTTTTGTGATGATAGGAAAAAAAAATATTGGGGGAAAATATTTGATTGAATATCGGTTGTGACATTAACTTTGACTAAGTTCTGAATTAAATTTCAAAACGGAAAGTAAATTAATTTAAACCAAACCATAGACCTGTCTCCTGTCTACAGTATGGAGTGGTGTGTTTCATTCATCAATCATTATGACAATAAAAAACATTTTCCATCAGATTATGTTACAATAGTAAAAAGACACTGAATGTACAAGTATTTACGGTGTAGGCTATACAAAACCTAATATAGACGTTATGTGCTTTTGTTCTTAAAATAGCTCTCCTAAAGAAATACCCGTTGTATAGTTCTGGCAATACACATTTACATTCACACACAGAATCCTCTCACATGTAATAACATAACTTTTTATTAAATTACATTTTTGTTAGGAACATTGTTAGCAATATTATATATTTATCTTCTTGATTAAAAAACTAACTTTTGTGTGGTGAGCATCAAACAGAGCTTCACTGAAAAAACAGCTCCTCATACTGCAAGGTAAGTTTCAATGTTTCAATCTCTGCACTGTTCTGCACACTCACGGTATGGTAAACTTTAGGATCGACATTGTGCCTTTCGCCTGCCCACATATGCTATTGTCAAGTAAATCACATGATTAAAACGAGGCAAAAAAACGATGTTTCACTATGACAATCGGTAGCACTGAATATTGGGGGAAAGTGTTTTGTTGTGGCACCTACTCCTGCTTGACCAGCTTATATTCCCGCTTGATCCTGGTGTAGGGACCGATGCTGTCATCAAAGACAAAGTCCCACAACACCCGGGTCCAGGAAGTGTGCTGTGGTAGGGAGTCGTAGTACTCTGCTGCTATCATCTTCACCTGGGACAGATAACAGGGCAGTTAGAGGGGGCTTTGTCTGCACGAGGAGCCAACAGAAGTCATGTCAGGGTATTATTTGGAGGTTGATAATGACTTGTATTCCTAGGTAACCTAACAGCAAATAGCACTAGGGCTTGTCATTTAGAAGGAGAATAATCATCTTTCCCCACAACTGACAAAACTAATAGGAGGTGCACACATTTTCTGAAGACAAAGAAAAAAAAAACCACACAACAGTTGACTTTAGAGTGCATATTTGTAGAGGTTAGAAAGTGTAAAAATAATCATATTGGTCTCAGGCGTTACACCAATAGTTCATGAGTTATAAATTCAGGCCAGTCTTTTAATCAATACTTGCAGTTGAAACCAGTGGAGGCTGCTGAGGGGAGGACGGCTCATAATAATGGCTGGAAAGGAGTGAATGGAATGGATTCAAACCATGTGTTTGATGTATTTGATACCATTCCACTTATTCCACTCCTACCATTACCATAAGCCTGTCCTCCCCAAATAAGGTGGCACCAACCTCCTGTGGTTGAAACGCCTCTCTCATCTGCTATCTGATGCTTCTCCCATTGGTGACATTGTTTAGAGCATTATCTTGAGACAGACATCTGCCACCAGCGATAATTTCCACTGATCAAGTAAGCCACATACAGGGGTACAATTTTGTGGGGGGGGGGGGGGGGGGGGGGATTGGTGGACCTAAAATCATGGTACACTATTGAGATTTAATATTGGACCTAAAATCATGGTAGTCCATTGAGATTTCAGATTGGGTTGACCTAAAATCATAGTCGACCTAAAATGGTGGTCCACTATCAACACTGTGTTTGAGATTTCAACTCACCTGAGGCAGCTTACTGCCAGGTATACTGGGGAAGTCATGGTGCTCCATGTGGTAGCCCACGTTGAAGGTGATCCAGTTCAGTGGGCCATAGTAGGAGTACGTCTCGTGTCCCTTCAGGAACATGTAGTGCTCCGCTATGAAGTGTCCAGAGATGGGGTGTAGGCCCATGCATAGAATGGACCCGGCTATGAGGTAAACTATGGGCTTCAGCCCCCACAGGTAGAATATCAGGAAGTTCACTGCAAATTGAACGGCAGCGTTAATAATCTCTAGTCTAGAGACCGGCTTGGGGTTCACCACTAGGGGGCGCAGTGCGTAGAACAATGGCTGGAGAAAGAGCCACAGGACCTTGCGCAGGGGTGTGCAGAAGAACCAGCCCTCAACGTCCGTGGGGATGTCCACATCTAGGCCGTCGCCACCCAGGTAACGGTGGTGGTCAATGTGGTACTTCTTGAACGAGGCCGAATAGGGCAGTCCGATGGGGAGGTTGGCCCACATGGCGAACCAGCGGTTGAGGCGTGCCAGCTTGTTGCCGAAGGCCACGTTATGCGAGATGTCGTGGATGGCGAGGGTCAGCGAGTGGTTGATGCAGCCGCCGAAGCCGTACGACCAGAAGAACACCCACTTCCAGGAGAGGCTATTGGACCATATAGCAGGCCAGAAGCTGGGTGAGGACCATCCCCGTCACCACCCACTTCAACTGTGGGTCAGGCCCCATCAGGGACTTAATCTCTGGGTACTTTGCTTAGGAGGACACAAAAATCACAGAATGAGACTCATTCAAAAGTAAACACATTACACTGACCCTTGTAAGTTTCTCTGCATTGTAACTGTTTCTGTATCGATTTTTTTCTCTCACAGAAGTTGATTCGAGGTTAGACATCACATTGGTTCGTACACTTATTTTCTGCTGTCCAGAATTGGAGGAGCCCATTGGCTAATGCAAATGTGGTCTGTCACATTGCTTTCACCTCGTTTGCGTAACAGCAGCATGAAAACTGATCTGAAGAGAAGAAAACTCTGGAACACAATATTGTATGGTGCCTTCAGAAAGTATTCACACCCCTTGATATTTTCCACAGTTGTGTTACAAAGTGGGATTAAAATTGATTTAATTGTCATTTTTTGTCGAAGATATACACAAAATACTGGAAGAAAAATTATATATATTTTTTGATTAATGAAAAAAAACAAAAAAACACTAATATAGTTTGATTAGATAAGCATTCAACCCCATGAGTCAATACGTTACAATCACATTTGGCAGCGACTACAGCTGTGAGTCTTTCTGGATAAGTCTCTGGATTGTTTAATAATATTTGCCCATTATTCTTTTTTTATGTTTATTCAAGCTCTGTCAAGTTAGTTGTTGATCATTGCTAGACAGACATACAAGTCTTCCCATAGATTTTCAAGCCGATTTTAAGTCAAAACAGTAACTAGTAAACGTAATGCTTTGTATTCAGAACAATAAGTTGATTTCTTTGCCACATTTTTTGAAGTTTTACTTTAGTGCCTTGTTGCAAACAGGATGTGTGTTTTGGAATATTTGTATTTTGTACAGGTTTCCTTTTCCACTCTGTCATTTAGGTTAGTATTGTGGAGTAACTACAATGATGTTGATCCATCCTCAGTTCTCCTATCACAGCCATTAAACTGGTCAACTGAGTTAGGAAGGACGCCTGTATCTTTGTAGTGACTGGGTGTATTGATACACCATCCAAAGTGTAATTAATAACTTCACCATGCTCAAAGGGATATTCAATGTCTGCTTTGTTTTATTTTTACCCATCTGCCAAAAGGTGCTCTTCTTTGTGAGGCATTGGAAAACCTCCCTGGTCTTTGGTTGAATCTGTGTTTGAAATTCACTGCTCGATTGAGGGACCTGACAGATAATTGTATGTGTGGGGTACAGAGATGGGGTAGTCATTCAAAAATCATGTTAAACACCATTATTGCACACAGAGTGAGTCAATGCAACTTATATGACTTGTTAAGCACAATTTTACTCCTGAAGTTATTTAGGCTTGATAGAAAATAACTATTGACTCAAGACATTTCAGCTTTTCATTTATTATAAAGTAAAAATGTCTAAAAACATAATTCCACTTTGACATTATGGTGTATTGTGTGTAGATCAGTGACACAAAATCTAAATTTAATCAATTTTAAATTCAGGAAGTAATCCAACAAAATGTGAAAAAAAGTGAAGGGGTGTGAATACTTTCTGAAGGCATAGTAAACCCATAGTCTCACCTACCTACGGTTCTCCCTTTCATTTGCCAACTCACAATTGAGATATATATATATATATATATATATATATATATATATATACACACACACACACACCCATTCAAAGGTTTGGGGTCCTTGTTTTCGATAGAAAAGCAAAACAATGTGTCCATTAAAATAACATCAAATTGATCAGAAATACAATGTAGACATTGTTAATGTTGTAAATGGCTATTGTAGCTGGAAACGGCTGATTTTTAATGGAATACAGAGGCCCATTATCAGCAACCATCAGTCCTGTGTTCCAATGGCATGTTGTGTTTGCTAATCCAAGTTTATCATTTTAAAAGGCTAATTGATCATTAGAAAACCCTTTTGCAATTATGTTAGCACAGCTGAAAACTCTTGTGCTGATTAAATAAGCAATAAAACTGGCCTTCTTGAGACTAGTTGAGTATCTGGAGCATCAGCAATTGTGGGTTCGATTACAGGATCAAAATGGCCAGAAACAAATAACTTTCTTCTGAAACTCGTCAGTCTATTCTTGTTCTTAGAAATGAAGGCTATTCCATGCGAGAAATTGCCTAGAAACTGAAGATCTCGTACAACGCTGTGTACTACTCCCTTCACAGAACAGCGCAAACTGGCTCTAACCAGAATAGAAAGAGGAGTGGGAGGCCCCGGTGCACAACTGAGCAAGAGGACAAATACATTAGTGTCTAGTTTGAGAAACAGACGCCTCACAGGTCCTCAACTGGTCCTCAACTGGCAGCTTCATTAAATAGTGAAGAGGCGACTCCGGGATGCTGACCTTCTAGGCAGAGTTGCAAAGAAAAAGCCATATCTCAGACTGGCCAATAAAAATAAAAGATTAATTAAAGATGGGCAGTCTGAGATATGGCTTTTTCTTTGCAACTCTGCCTAGAAGGTCAGCATCCCGGAGTCGCCTCTTCACTGCTCTGTGTTTCTGGCCATTTTGATCCTATAACCCACAATTTCTGATGCTCCAGATACTCAACTAGTCTCAAGAAGGCCAGTTTTATTGCTTCTTTAATCAGCACAACAGTTTTCAGCCGTGCTAACATAATTGCAAAAGGGTTTTCTAATTAATTAGCCTTTTAAAATGATAAACTTGGTTAAGCAAACACAACATGCCATTGGAACACAGGACTGATGGTTGCTGATAATGGGCCTCTGTATGCCTATGTAGATATTCCATTAAAAATCTGCAGTTTCCATTTACAATAGCCATTTACAACATGAACAATGTCTACACTGTATTTCTGATCAATTTGATGTTATTTTAATGGACAAAAAATTGCTTTTCATTAGAAAACAAGAATTTCTAAGTGACCCCAAACTTTTGAACGGTAGTGTGTGTGTGTGTGTGTGTATGTGTATATATACATACATACAGTGGGGGGGAAAAGTATTTAGTCAGCCGCCAATTGTGCAAGTTCTCCCACTTAAAAAGATGAGAGAGGTCTGTAATTTTCATCATAGGTACACGTCAACTATGACAGACAAAATGAGAAAAAAAAATCCAGGAAATCACATTGTAGGATTTTTTATGAATTTATTTGCAAATTATGGTGGAAAATAAGTATTTGGTCAATAACAAAAGTTTTTCAATATTTTGTTATATACCCTTTGTTGGCAATGACACAGGTCAAACGTTTTCTGTAAGTCTTCACAAGGTTTTCACACACTGTTGCTGGTATTTTGGCCCATTCCTCCATGCAGATCTCCTCTAGAGCAGTGATGTTTTGGGCTGTCGCTGGGCAACACAGACTTTCAACTCCCTCCAAAGATTTTCTATGGGGTTGAGATCTGGAGACTGGCTAGGCCACTCCAGGACCTTGAAATGCTTCTTACGAAGCCACTCCTTCATTGCCCGGGCGGTGTGTTTGGGATCATTGTCATGCTGAAAGACCCAGCCACGTTTAATCTTCAATGCCCTTGCTGATGGAAGGAGGTTTTTGCTCAAAATCTCACGATACATGGCCCCATTCATTCTTTCCTTTACACGGATCAGTCGTCCTGGTCCCTTTGCAGGAAAAACAGCCCCAAAGCATGATGTTGGGGTGTCCACATACATTTGTGTATGTGTGGTCTATGCTATTCAAACTATAGTTTCCCAACTGTCCATTGACCCTCAGTTGTATGCACACAGGAGCTATGCATTGTGGGTAACCATCCTAATTGCTGCTAGCCTGCCATGGCTTATGGACCCTAATCCACACCTCAATGACATCATCACCTCAGTTGGCCTAAAAGGGGAGAGTGAGGTCAACCAGCGATGTGTGTGTGTGCGTGCGTGTGTGTGTGTGTGCGTGCATGTGTGCATCTGTGTGTATTCAATTGTGCGCATGTTGAGCACATATCCTATTGAGCACTCCAGAGGTCCCCACAGGGGCACAGAGACCTTTTTATGACGTCATTGGCTGACTAGAAGGGATCCACTGAAGCCCAGAGGGTACTGTGGACGTAGGACTTAGCTATGAAGGTCATGATGACCAGACATGGTGAACAGCAGTTACAGCAATTGTGGGTTCGATTACAGGATCAAAATGGCCAGAAACAAATAACTTTCTTCTGAAACTCGTCAGTCTATTCTTGTTCTTAGAAATGAAGGCTATTCCATGCGAGAAATTGCCTAGAAACTGAAGATCTCGTACAACGCTGTGTACTACTCCCTTCACAGAACAGCGCAAACTGGCTCTAACCAGAATAGAAAGAGGAGTGGGAGGCCCCGGTGCACAACTGAGCAAGAGGACAAATACAGTGTCTAGTTTGAGAAACAGACGCCTCACAGGTCCTCAACTGGCAGCTTCATTAAATAGTACCCACAAAACACCAGTCTCAACGTCAACAGTGAAGAGGCGACTCCGGGATGCTGACCTAGGCAGAGTTGCAAAGAAAAAGCCATATCTCAGACTGGCCAATAAAAAGAAAAGATTAAGATGGGCAAAAGAACACAGACACTGGACAGAGGAAGATTGGAAAAAAGTGTTAGGGACAGACAAATCGAAGTTTGAGGTGTTCGGATCACAAAGAAGAACATTGGTGAGACGCAGACCAAATGAAAAGATGCTGGAGGAGTGCTTGATGCCATCTGTCATGTATGGTGGAGGCAATGTGATGGTCTGGGGGTGCTTTGGTGGTGGTAAAGTGGGAGATTTGTACAGGGTAAAAGGGATCTTGGAGAAGGAAGGCTATCACTCCATTTTGCAACACCATGCCATACCCTGTGGACGGCGCTTGATTGGAGCCAATGTCCTCCTACATTTACATTTACATTTTTAGTCATTTAGCAGACGTCTTATCCAGAGCGACTTATTTTTTTTTAATACTGGCCCCCCGTGGGAATCGAACCCACAACCCTGGCGTTGCAAACGCCATGCTCTATCAACTGAACTACATCCCTGCCGGCCATTCCCTCCCCTACCCTGGACGACGCTGGGTCAATTGTGCGCCGCCCATGAGTCTCCCGGTCGCGGCCGGCTGCGACAGAGCCTGGATTCGAACCAGGATTTCTAGTGGCACAGTTAGCACTGCGATGCAATGCCTTAGACCACTGCGCCACTCAGGAGCAGGACAATGACCCAAAGCACAGCTCCAAACTATGCAAGAACTATTTAGGGAAGAAGCAGTCAGCTGGTATTCTGTCTATAATGGAGTGGCCAGCACAGTCACCGG